GTGCGTCTTTTTCCCCATTTTCACGACTGCGAGAGGTGATAAGTTCGCGCGGACCACAGAAACGACAACAAAAAAATCGTATTTTGGCCCTCCTTTAGTAGACGGAAGCTAGAGCTGTTAAAAATGTTCAGTTCATTATTAAACTCTCTTATTTGAACAAAGAATTCTGTACACAAAAACCTATAAAGTGCAAAAACCCAACTCTCGTCCTGAAGACACTGCGCCCCTGGAGCTTTTTTTGAAAGTTGAACTGATCTCGAAAACAAGATGCAAACTGCGAAAGGAAGTGGTCATACGGTCAGTAATGATCGAGTCACCCCCCTTCCCCCCCCCCCCCCCCCCCCCTTTCCAAACGCCATCGAAAAACTGACCTTTTTCAGTAAAACAAAATTCGGAGAAATGAATTCGGCGTAGGTTTACCGATTTTATTCGGTTTAAGGTGAAAACGATGAACCCTAAATATAGCATATGGAGTTAAAAAATGCACTTGTCAAAGTAGGCACTGAAAAGGATTGAAGGGTCTAGGCCAATTTATTTATTTATTTATTTATTTCAGTACCCTCAAAGCCCGAGGGCATTACAGAGGGGAGGGGCAAGTAACAAACCATAATACAGTAATGAGAAAAAAATACAAAAAAAAAAACAACTAACAAGAAACAAAGCAGTCAGGGTGCCTGCTGACGGAAATGGCTGGTTAATGCAGTTCTAAAAGAATCAAGTGGTGATGTAGATTCTAAAGAGGCGGGAAGCAGGCTTTCGACGAGCTGGCTTTCGTCGAAAGCCAACTCGTCTATGGCCAATTTGTCAAATAGGTCAATTCGTCGAAGGGCGACTTGTGGAAGATGCCAACTGGTCGCCACTTTTTCAAAACCAAAATATATAATTTTTGTCCTCAAAAGGCAAAGCAAACACTGCGCTATATATTGTAATCCGTAAAATCGCCGCACGATAATTGACGTTCAGTGCGCTCTTTCTTGTCGAAGAGAACAATTTGTCACCACTTTCATGAGTGCCAAATTAGATGCTATATTGGAGTTAGGGTTGCGAAGTATGATAAGCACTGAAATAGGCTTTTTTTTTTTTTCATAACCTAGCGACAATAAATGAAATAGTCAAGGAGGTTCGAAATTATTCGCGCAGAAAGAGGTGAAGAGCGCGCTCGAAGTTGCTGCATGCGTGCTGTTTTGACGCCGTGCTGTTTTGGCCTGTGCTCTACTGTCGCTGTGCCGTTTTGACGCTGTGCTGTTTTGTCGCGTGCTATTTTGACGCGTGCTGTTTTGTCGCCGTGCTGTTTTGACGCTGTGCTGTTTTGACGCGTGCTGTTATGACCGTGCTGTTTTGTCGCGTGCTGTTTTGTCGTGTGCTGTTCTGTCGCGTTCCCAATCATGTGGAACCTTTATTAACATAGCGATACGAACATGCACCACTAAATTGTATACAGAATGTAATTTATAAACGTTGTACACAGTTAACAAATATCAGTGTCCACCTTTATTTCTCAACCATAGATTTCAATCGCTTTCCTTCTCCACAAATCTCATTGTAACCATAGCTCTTTCAGACATTTTATTAAAGCACATTTTTATGTTGGTGTTCTCCTTTAGTCTTGTGTTGCGCGTAAGAATACACGCTGAGAAGTTATCTTGTGAGCTTTGCGATCGTGCTCGTGCCACGCACGCCGTTACACAAAACTCTGGAGTTTCTGATATTTCCAGCTATATTCTAAT